AATGAGGAATTTACTATATAATAACCTGTAATAATTGTTACAAGGACTACAACGGAGAAACTTCTAGGAAATTAAATAAAAAAAAATTTGTACAAACAAGGGATATTTTACAAAACAATGCATTAGTTGTTCACCGTAACGAGACCACAATTTTGCTTTTAAAAAAAATGCAAGTCTAATTAAAAGAGAAAACAGTTCACTAAGACGAAAATGTTTAGAAAGTGCTTTAATCTGTCTACATTTTTGAGATGAGCTATTATATAGACTATTTACATGTATTCGGACTTTTGTCCTCATCTTTGTCGCCAAGCTAGCATTACAACGTTTCAGCCGTTGTAATTGCTCCCAAAAAGATCTTCAAAAATTTAGATTTATGTCTTTATTTAACCTTTAAAAGACTGGGGTAGACTGTATCAAGTTCCACGTGCCATGTTTTTTTTTTTTTTCTTTATTTTTATTTTTTTAATGGATGTCATTAAAAAAAAGTTATGTTAAAAAATCTCCCCTAACCTGATATTAAAGTCACACTAAAAATAATTGTCACTGGATAAGGCGGTTAAGCCAGTGGAGAAATTGGAGAGGGAATTAACAGGAGATAACTGATAAAAAACATCCATTAAAAAAAAAATAAAAAAAACCTCGTGGAACTAGTATTTGAGCGAAATAAAGAGTTCAGTTCGACATTCCAACCACCTGATTTTTTTTGGGGTGTACAAACGTTGTAATAAATATGGCGCAAAACGAGGACAACAGTCAGAATAATGTAAATACTGCTTTAATCGCTTGTTCATCCACAGTGAATTTGCATCCAGGTTCTTACAACATTTCACCTTTCTTGTCAGATCTTCTATTATCACAATGCGCGATATTTAATAACGAAAGTGATGGAAACATAAACAAAAAGAAAATTAATTTTTACAACAATTCTTGTAAAAATTAATTTTTCACCGGAAAAATATTTTGGCTTCAGACAATAATGTTTTTAACATATATTATTCATGAAAGCCATTAAAATCTTTTTCTAATTAAATGATGTCTCAGTTTTATTTTTTTTTTATGTTACAATTCAGAGCTGAATTTTGGGTAGCTATGTATTTCGATTTTACAAAAAAAAAAAAAAAAAAAAAAATCGATAATTTCAAAGTCTTCTGCTTTTAACAGATATAATCACTAAAAGGCAAGCAGCGTAATTTCTAGAGTTTTCATAAAATTATGTAAGGGGTTGGGGTAACAAATGTACAAAAAAGATTTTTACCATGGTTTTCTAAAAAAAAAAAAAAATGTCTAAAATAATTGAATTCATTTGTGAATAAGTTCTGAAAGTTTCATTAAAATCCGATAACGATTTGATTTTTGCAAGAATTTCCAAATCAATGTGTCTTTCACTTGAAAAAAAAAAGGTGTTAAAACGCTAATGGTAAATATTACGTAGACCGCTGACGTAAAAAACAAAGAAAAGTTTTAACCAAAATTTCCAACATGCCAGAAAAGATGAAAAAAATTAATAAAATAATCAAAATATACTTTAGTTTTTCCTCTTAATAATAACAAACATTTTGACGATAGAAGTTCATTTTTATTAAGTTTGGGGCCTTTTTTTTTTTTTTTTTTTATCAAACTATGCTGTTTTTTTTTGGGGTTTTTTTTTTTTAGTGGAGATACCTTACGTAAACGTCAATTAGTCCGATGAATTCCCAAAGTCACACGATAACTTTTTCCACTTTACCATACTGCTTTCCCCTAAAATTGTTCTTGATATATATAAAAAATATACATTGTTATCTCTCATATGTATATGCCTGTGTGTGTGTGTGTGTGTGATAAAAATATAGTTTTAAATTATGCTATTTATGGCTAAAAAAATACTCAGGCCTGAAAAGTATGTTCAAGAAACAGACTGTCGTCGCTTCGTAATAAACTCGGTGTTTTATATAACCTTTTAGTCTCTGGACATGGTTGTAAAATTTGACGGAAAATCAGTATCACTTGTCAAGGGATATTTTAACATGTGTAGTAAGCATATAGTACTTTTTTTTCAATTTTTTCTTTCATCTTAAATAAAAATAATCACAGTTAATTCTTGTCTGGTAGAAAAAATGTCTTGAAGTATGTTCCACTGCTGGAAGAATGGACATTACAAGGATTAAAAAAAAAAATGATATGACATTTTAAAATTTTTCCGTCTTTTTTTGGGACGTCCATTATACGCATTATAACCATATTAATGTACATTTACAAAAATATTGAACGAGTGCAAGGGAGGTAACTCGAGGAAAATCCGTGGTTAAAGAAATATGACATGAAACCAGTTCGTTGTGTAAAAATTTATTTTGTGAATCCGAAAGCGTTAGAAACGAAACCTGCTTTCTCGGTTTGGCTAATATGGAACATCATAATGGAGACAGCTGAAGGAAATTCATTTGGCGACTTCTCTAAAAAGTGCTTTTATTTGTAGATGATTGATAAATGTTGTACCGTTTTTTTCAGTTGATCCGTTCTTTGTCTTTTTCTTTCTTTCTTTCGTTTGTTTCTTTGTTTGTTTGTTTCTTTTTTTGTTTGTTTCTTGTTTGTTTGCTTCTTTCTTTCTTTATTTCTTTGTTTCTTGTTTCCTTCTTGTTTCCTTTTTTCTTTCTTTCTCTTTGTTGTTTCTTTCTCTTTGTTGTTTCTTTCTTCCTCTTTGTTGTTTCTTTCTTTCTCTTTGTTGTTTCTTTCTTTCTCTTTGTTGTTTCTTTCTTTCTCTTTGTTGTTTCTTTCTTTCTCTTTGTTGTTCCTTTTTCTCCTTTCTTCTTATTTCTTTTTCTCTTTCTCTCTTTTTTCGTTTTCTTTCTCTCTCATCTCTAAAAAGACATATGCGTATCTTTGCTGATATCTATTAATATAACTGGCTTGTTCGTTGTTATTTACTCTTCTTTATTCATCACAAGGCCCTAAATATGAGGCACGTAGTGAGGATCGAACTCACTACTTAGTTTGCTATTTTACCCATGACTTCGTGTGAAGGTGACCGAGAACATATCGATTCTTGCCTTTCTTAAGGGTATTATCCTCAACTGAAATTTGAAGTTTTATTTTATTTATTTTTTTTAAGCGCTGATAACCGCTAGGCCACCAATACATCCTAAAATAATAAATTTTCAAGTGTGCGTATGTGTCTCGAAACTTTGGAAATTATATATAAAACGTTGCTTGTCTGTGCATGTGTGTGTGCAAATATTATGTAAATCTGTGACATCAAATAGAGTTTTCTTATTTGTATGTAAAAGCATTTGTCTTAGATCATGCCCAACTTAACGGTTCTTATTTAATCGAACTATTATCCTCATCTTTCGTCGCTGTGTCCCTCGGCTTTCATCAGGTGTATATCGATCCGATTAACCTAGAGAGAATTCTGAACTGAGCCCTTTATACCCATGGGAAAGATATGAATGCATCTCTTCTCACCTCAGACATAGATTATTTAGTAAGACTTGTATCACTAAATCATTACTATCTCAAAAAAAAAGGGGGGGAATCTTACAATCTAAAACTATTTTTTGCCTTTAAATAACATATAAAGGTTTGTTAAACCGTAGAAAACGAATCTCTCCATCAACCAATTTGTAGTTCGCATCTTGGGGTATTCTTTTTGCGGACAACCATACATTCTGTCTATTTACAATTGGGGTTAGTCCTTTCTACCAGCTTTCCTTTTACTACATTCAGATAAAGACATTTTCTACCCTTGATATAGTAACAACCTTAGCATTTAGATCACAGCATGGAATGAAACGATAGTACGCAATGTATAAAGCGAAGAAATCAGTACTAATATAGCATAATTTGAAAATCTAACTAATATTATAAATTATAATATGACTTGTATATGTAATGAAGGAGGAACAGAATGTTTAAACCTGTCGGACCGTTTTAATTATGACAATTTTGTTAATGTCAGTTTTTTTTATCATTTCACCCCACGTAAAGCAATAAGGATACAAGGGGTTACTGAGTGAGATAAATAAAAAAAATGAGGAATCAAGAAGACACTAAATAACGACTGATATTGCATTTAAATTTTTAAAGATCAAAATTGGCTGGAAAGCAAGCAGCTAGAAGAGAGTTACACAGGCGGGAAGTGCAAGAGAAGAAACTGTTAGCATAGAACTTACGGTTGTATCTAGCCAATTCAATTGCAAAAGGATGAGACCTTGTTGCTAATCTAGTAATGCGCTTAAATTCATAAAGTTTAGGTATAATAAAGCAAAGTTTATCATAACATTTGCCATGAAAGTATTTATTGAAAAGGCACAGAAGCAAGTCTCTCATACAAAGGGAAGACTGCGTAGAGGAGGAAAGAGACTGGAGTCAGGCAATGCAGGGTGTTATTGCTTGTCTAAAATATAACACACAGTTGCATAAATGCGCGCGTATTAAATGTTGCCTGTCATATTTTTAGTCCCTATTGGAAACACGACTGTACGCAGAAAATTTTAGTGGTGGTTATTTTCGAATAAATTGTTATTTTGGATAAATAAATGGAATGTTGGATTGCGGTGAAGGCATAACCTCGTTGGCGGGAGTCACACCGAAAATGACGATCGTAGAATTATAAAGAATGGGTTAATCTGGTTATTATTAGTTTGATTGGATGTGAATCCTTGGTAGAGGCAAGCAAGTGTGAGATCGGTCAAATTGAGTTGAACCCCTTGACTCACTGCACAGGATTTTTCCTTTTGGTTTTCACTTTTTTGTTTTGTTTTTAAAGCAAATTATATTAAATTACAACAATATTCTCTTTTGAAATATTCACGCTGTGTGTAGAGGTCATCGATTCTCCCATGTCAATTTTTGCTGTGTCGAATTTAGGGGTTTGATCGCGAAATCATATTTTGAACGAGAAAGAAGAGCTACAAATTTATATAAGTTTGCATTAGGGATAGTTTTAGATAACATGTTAATTTGATCGGAAAGTTTTTTTTTTTTTTTTTAAGTGTTATTAATTACTGCGTCTTTATTGGCAAATGAGAATCGTGCTTTTCCTCTCTCTCTCTCATTCCTTTTTCTTTTATGGCTTCGCAATTGACAGGTAAAAATACTTGTTTTGAACCCTTTGCCAAAATACACACGTTATGACATGATCGTCGGGCCGGGAGAGATCTGAAGTGGAAGATATTCTTTCTTTCAAAACATTTCGATGGCAGCTAATGAAGATCTTTCAATCGGAAATTCTAAAAAATTACCGGTTTTAATAAGTCAAAACGAGGAGCAAATTTGTGTACCGTATATACTTGTGTATAAGTCGATTTCATGTCGAGTGTGACTCTTGTATTTTTTGTATGAATTTTAATCTCATCTAAAAAAAAAAAAATACTTGTGTATAGTACAACCGGTCATCGAAAATGCATGATTTTTAACCTCTTCAAAAGCATTAACTGTGTATAGTGCGACCCCCTATTTTTTTGGCGGGGGGTGGGTAACATAAATACTCGCATTATACTTGAGTATATGCGGTATCTGAAGAAAAATCTGATTTAAAAATACATGCGGATGTGTATATTTTCAACATAATCTCTTTCCTTGTCAATGCACTTAATCAGTGTTTTTTTATAGATCTCACTGGGCGAAAATTATGCAATGAACATTCCAGATCAAAACTGTTGTGTCAGGCTATGAACTTATTGATCCACCTTTGCATTTTGGAGTGTGTAATATGTGTGTGTAGTGTTGTTGCTATCTGTGTGGAAAGTAGGATTCGCTTGCTGAGTTGTGGCCAAAGCTATTGTGTTTACTTTGAAAAGGTATGAATTCCCTATATCACTATGGGTTAAATAACAGACTGGGTTCTCTAGACTTGGTTGACGTACACTGATAGAAAATAAAATTGCAACAACCAGAATATATGTTTCAATTTATTGAAAATTAAAGGTACAAGAATGACCGTGTATATTCGTGTATAAACCGACTTCATTAAAAGTGAGACCCATGAAATTTTTTTTGTATGAATTTTAATCCTATCCTGAAAAAATTATTTGTGTATAGTTCAACCGGTCATCGAAGATACATGATTATATCCTCTTGAAACAAATTACCTGAGTATAGTGCGGTCTCTTATTTCTTGCATAAGAAACTGATAAAAAAATCTCGCCTTATACCAGAGTATATAGGTATTTACTTGACTCCCACAAGGTCAAGATGTGACACAAGGTCGTTTAACGTGGGAAACCCGAGTGTTTCCACTCAAAGGCCACTGGTCAAAATTGGTCAGAGCTTAGTCAAAGCTGGTCATGACTTGTCCTAGCAAGTCCAGGCCGGAGCCAGTCCAAGCTAGTCGAAGCCTTGATCGAATCTCAGCCATAGGCCAAGAAACGATCCAATATTTGTCAAAACCCCCAGCATAACGCCATGTAAGTATCCACTATATACCAGAGTATATAGGATACCTGACGAAAAATCTTATTTAAAAATACATATGAATGTTGATATTTAATGTTACAGTGAATGTTTGTAGCTTGTCTCCTTTTTCAGCAAAATAATCTTTTATTCAAATGGGTCAGTCACATGTGCCATGCGTGATACACGCTTAGGCGATCATGTATCTTTCGATACGTGACTGACGAGGCAGATTTTTTTCTCGCAGTCGGTTGCCATTTATTTCTGCCGCAGACCAGTTGCCATCCAAGGCTATAGAACCCGGTCAGTCTTGCTATTTACCCATAGCTGGAGGAAAATGGTATTAGCACTTAAGTGAATGTAATGGATTCGACTGGAATTCGAACTCGGCTCTCCGATTCCTCAGTCCGAGCCGCTATCCATTATTCCACCGTCACTATATTCGCATAAAGCTTGGTAAAGCTTAGATTGGTCGAAACGTTAAGCATATTTTAAGCCTCTTCAAAAAAAATGTGTATAGTGCGACACCCTTATTATTATTATTATTTTGCGTAAAAGAAAAACGATCATAAAATCTATTATAGTCGAGCGTGGTGTAATGGATATCGGCTACAAATGAGAAATCTGAGATCAGAGTTCGAATTCCAGTCGAGTTCGTAACATTCACTTACGCACAAATACCCTTGGGAAAGGTCTGAATCAGTCTCTTCTCGGCTATGGGTTGAATAGCAAGGTAGAATAGATTCTTAATCATTGGTTAGAAACCAGTCTACCGCAGAAAGAAACGTAAACCTCTGCCTAGTCAGTCATAAATCGAAAGACACATGATCGCCCAAACGTGTATCTCATATGGCACTTAACTGACTGGTATATCATCGTGAGAAAATCGTTCATGCCAAATTTGTCTTCTCGTTAATCCTTTTCAGGCCAGTTTAATCGTTTCCCTATTCTCACTCTTTCACGCATATGCTCATGTACTTAGATGATTTGGTTTCAGGGATCACAATATTCGACGGCATTCAAAATCTATAATATAAACGGATATATGATTGCGTCCTGAGTATGACGATAAACTACATCAGCGTCCTGCGTATCGATAAACTACACCCGCGTCCTGAGTACGTCCAACAGCAAGGCCTCTGATAATACGTTTTTGAAAAAAATAATGTTGCCAGCTGTACGTTTTTGAAAAAGTAATGTTGTCAGCTGTACGTTTTTTTGTTTTTTTTTTTGAAGGAATAGTGTTGTCGGCTATACGTTTCTGAAAAAAATAATATTACCAGATATACGTTTTTCAAAAAATAATATTACAAGCTATACATTTTGGAGGAAAAAATATTAACAGAAATAGATTTTTGACAAAACAAAAATACTACCAGGAAAAAAAAAAGTTGTCGGCATTAAATAACCCATTGAGGTTGACATGCCGTAAAACAAACGAAACCGAATATATGATTATCTGTCCGCCACACACTGCCTGTCACTTTGCATTTGAGTATGTCATATATATACATCCATTCGTACTAATGCAACGTCCTGAGTATGACGATAAACTACATCAGCGTCTCGGATAAGACGATAAACTGCATCCGACAGCAAGGCCTTTGATCAGGAGGTTTTGAGGAACGTGGAACCACTTCTTGATTGCTGGTATTCCCGGGTCCGCCCTGGTTCGGGGTGGTGGCACTTGTCGGGGTCCTGGCTATGGGCGGGTAGTTAACTCCCCACAAATGGAGTCAAAACATCACGAACGTATAAAAATAGGTTTTAATACCAGCAATACATTTTTGGAAAAATTATTACCAACAATAAATTTTTGAAGAAAAAATTATTAACAGCAGTACATTTTTGAAAAAGAAAAAATATTGCCATCCATTTTTGGAAAAAAATATTGCCATCGATAAAAATCTTATCGGCATTAAATAACCCATTGAGATTGATATGCTATAAAACAAAAACAAACGTACTCATGCAGGTGTCAGCCCCCCCGCAAGCTCTATCTTGGGTCTGAATTTATTTTGTAATTCTCATTAATGACTTTCCCGTTGACATCAGCTCTCACCTTGGTATCTATGCTGATGAGACAGCCTTTTACTCCTGTCTCGATAGTAACTTCGACCGGCTCGATTAGTTCAAATGTGTGGCTGATGTCAAAAACGATTTTAAGTCTGTTGTTAACCAAGGCAAAGGATGACTTGTTAATTTTGAACATCTCCAAATCTATCTATCTATCTATCTATCTATCTATCTATCTATCTATCTATCTAGGTCTGATGTTCTTTATCTATCAGTTTCTTCTGGTCTGTTATCTATCTATCTATCTATCTATCTAGGTTCTGATGTTATTTATCTATCATCTTTCTTCTGAACTCCGTTATCTATCTATCTATCTATCTATCTATCTAGGTCTGATGTTCTTTATCTATCAGTTTCTTCTGGTCTGTTATCTATCTATCTAGGTCTGATGTTCTTTATCTATCAGTTTCTTCTGGTCTGTTATCTATCTATCTATCTATCTATCTAGGTCTGATGTTCTTTATCTATCAGTTTCTTCTGGTCTGTTATCTATCTATCTATCTATCTAGGTCTGATGTTCTTTATCTATCAGTTTCTTCTGGTCTGTTATCTATCTATCTATCTATCTATCTATCTATCTATCTATCTATCTAGGTCTGATGTTCTTTATCTATCAGTTTCTTCTGGTCTGTTATCTATCTATCTATCTATCTATCTATCAGACCCCAGTCTGCCTTCCATCAGCATGGCTGATGCTAACCTCCAGGAGAGTGATTCATTGCGTCTTCTAGGGCTGACATGAAGTAGAAAGACTATATTGAATCCACTGCTAGGTCAGCTGCTAAGAAAGTTGGTTCACTGTGCCGGGCGGATAATTTTTTCTCTCCAGAATCTATCTTACATATCTATAAGTCTACCATTCGTCCATGCTTAGAATATTGCTGCCACATATGGTCCGTGCCCTGCTATTTATTTTGAGCTTCTTGATAAAATCCAAAGAAGAATCAGCAATATTATTGGTCCTGAGCTCAGCTCTTCAGTCACTTTTCCACCACCATAAGTTTGCCTCTCTATGTATTTTTCTATAAATACTTTCATGGTAATTGTTCGAATGAAATCTTCGCTATGGTACTTAGATTTTAAAAATTTAACGCAGCACTAGACTACAGTTGAGCTGACTAGATGTAATCGTAAATTCTATGCTAACAGTTTATTTTCTCACACTTCTCGCTTGTGGAACTCTTTTTCCGGCTCCATGCTTTCCATCAAAAAAATTTAAATTTAAATGTCAAAAACTATTCTGATTACTTTCTTCTCCTTCTCTTCTATTGTTAATGTTTCTTTTCCTTTCTTCCACGCCCTTTCAACCCCTTGTGTTTTAGTGACATTACTGCCATGCTTGGGGTGAAACCGATAAAAAAAAAAAAAAAAAATTTGCTTGAAAACCACCGGGTTTGCCCAGGCTTAACAATTGTTCGAAAATTTGGATTTGGAATATAATCTGATTTGTCTATTTTATTCGAAATATATTTGCTATCAATTTTATTCATCTTCGTATCAGACTTCAATTACAAGATATTGTTTATAAAAAAAAACTCGTTTTAATATATTTCTCAAAGAAATGAGCAAACAATACTGTATTAACCGAAAGTCGAACGCATATCCTCGATTCTGTTTTCTAATGTTAATGAATAACGCCATTACATCCAAATGTCAGGTCAACATTAACAGCATTATAACTATAAAAGCAGTTTGTTGAGTTTCATATGTAAAAGAGTAACATACAAAATTTTTCTTATGATTATTTCATTAAAAAATCGACCTACATCTTAAAAAATGTAAAATAACTTTAAATTCTTTTGTATAAATGGGCGGATATTTTGCAACTTTGAATTCTTCAAAAACGAGAATCCGTTAGACAAGCAATGTCGGAATGAGTATAGCTACCCATTTGCATTCCTTTAAGAGTTATCTTTTTAACACTCTCAATGATAACATCACAGGTGAGAATGATAGATATATATGTTTTTATCATATTTACTCCGAATAGAAGTTGAAATAAAAGATAAAATTTTCTCTTTCCTGAAAGATGATTATTCTTGGCATAATTATTAATCATTGAAAAGCTATTGATATGTTTCGTTTACGATACAAAGTGCAGACATTACATTCGGAAATATCTCTTTGAATAAGTTGTCTAGATAACCAAAGTGATTACTTTTTCAGCTTTGCAGCAGACGAACAATGATAGTAAAACATTGAGACTGAATGAAATTTCAAATGTTTTTAGACAGTGTCCTATCTTTATTATTTTTCACACATTTAATAACACTGAACAATTAATTTCCAAGTGATATTTTATTAACTGCGATATTAAATGTACTAAATCATCTGATGAATTTTTAAATTGTCAAATGCTACTCTCAAGTCAGAAAAAATGTCAAACCATCAGAACCAAATCTTTATATCGCTGTTCAAATTTCTGCTAAAATTGCAATTTTCATTGCAAACTGCGAGATATATTTCAATAATTTGAACTTAATTTTATCTCATCTGAAAATAAATTCATGGCCCAAAGTTAGATTGTGTGAATCTTGCACTACAGAGGGTGGAGAGAGGGATATTAATATATATATATATATATATATATATATATATAAGAGAGAGAGAGAGAACTGAAAATATTAACTTTCAAGATATTACCAAATTTGCACCTCTCTTAAATCAATGAAGGTGCTATTTTGTTTAGGACAAGCACCTTTTTAGATTTGGGACTTCTAATTGTCTTCTTATATCAGTGCAATAATTTATTAAAATATATCTTCTTGTGAAATTATAATTTATCAAAGAAAAAATTCAAATATTTGTCTAGTCATGGAAGTATTTTATTAATATTGAAAAACTAAAATAATGTTGCAATGTCATAATGTGTTAAAAAACATACATGTCTTGATAGTTCTATTTTTATCTTTTTATTTCTTTCAATTAAAAACGTAAATGACAAAGCGTGTTTTCCTATTTTTGAGGTTATGCAGAATAAAAGATTTTGATTTTGTGGTAAAATGTGTTGCCATAATTTCGAATAAAATATGATAATGTGGAGCCATTGTATTATCAATTTCAAAAATTTCCATTAAATATAACAAATACAAATAGTATTTGTTGAAATAAAATAATTGATTATATACATAAATGGTTTTGAAAACAAATTTTGAACTAGAGTTAAAAATGCCGTGTAAAGGTAGGTTATCAAATGTTTAGATAGAGGCGCATTTTTTTAAATTTAACCCAATTTTCATAGATACGTCTTCTTTGAAACCCACAATACGAATTAAAAAATTAAAACAAATCATTTCCATTTCAGGATTTATTTGAGGCACATAACTTTTCAAAGTAAAAAAAATGTTTTCATTTGTGTCTAAATATATAACATTAGCTAAATTCACCTGTTACCAAATGTACCGAGATAGAGAGAATCGAATGAATATCTGCATAGCCTTGATAAATAATAACATTATTAAAAAATTTTAAATGTTAAGCAATGAACTTTCATAAAAGTTTTCAAAGAGTTATTGAAATTGATTTGCGAATTATCTTTTGTTTAAAAAGCAAAGATTTGATATACGAATGAATTTCATTAAAAATTCGTTTTGATTTTCGTACTTTAAAATAAAAGTTAAATAAAATGAAATCACTTTACTTGTACAAAAGAACATGAATTTGAATATGAGTAAAAACAAAAGGAAAATTCCAGACTGTAGATAATCCTAAACACTTATAAAGTTGTTTTATTTTACACCATTAGACTCGATGGGGGTTATTAAAACGGTCTATTTATTCTCGGATTAGTATTAGATTGTATTCTACAGAGGGAGAGGAAAAATGAACGTGGCCATATGAATGACTGGTATAACTCCCAACGATCTTCTTGAACAGTAGCGCAAATATTTCTTTCTTGTTTTATTGTATTTTTTTTTTAAATAAAAATAAAAAAAACAAAACAAAAAAAAAAAAAAAAAAAACGCTCGTTTCGTTTTAACAAAATAAAACTGACGTTTAATTAAAATATAAACCTCTGCCTTTGTCTCCTCATTGTCTTGGCAAAATGAAATCAATATCGTGTTATTTTGAAAATCTGGGAAAAAATTAAAATAATCCTTTTGAAAAACTGTGTCAATTTTTCTCAAGTTTGCCAACCGAATCACATTCTCACTGACGTCTCAATCAGAAAATATCTCTTGTAATATTATTTATTGGTTTATTTTATTGCAAATAAAGCAGAAATATAAAAACGTCTTTTTGAGCACAATAGAAATGAATATTGGTCTAATTGCAAGAATAGTGTTTCAGCTACATCAATTTCTATGATAAATAAAAAATCATCAGTCTTATTTTGCAAACTTACAATATTAATTGTAAATTATACAGAAATTTCAATTTTTTTAGAAATTTTCTTTTGCATAAAAAATAAAATCCGGCCTTCTTCTGTTTGGGGCCGATAAGGATGTCGACCCACAAGGTTATTTTTGTTCGAAGAAAGGTGTGAACAGCCAAGACAATGAGGAGACAAAGGCAGAGATTTATATTTTAACCAAACGTCAGTTTTATTTCGTTAAAACGTCGTGTTCAATTTTTTTTTTTTTTTTTAAAAAAAAAACAACGAAAACAGAAAAAGATTTGCTGGATGAAATGTAAGGTTCCATTAGACTGGTACGTGGAAATGAAACAGATGGTAGGTAAGTTGATCATAGGTCGGTTGGTCTTCCAATCAGGTAATAAAAGTGTGCCGGATGTGACGACGACGGGAAGCAACGGTGTCGTCTATCTGGTCAAATGATGGACGGTCGGATGAACGTATCGACGACGGGAATTTGGGTAAATTGATCCGGTCGTGTCGACGGTCGGACTAGACGTTCAACGACGGGAATCTGGTCAAAGGTCGAACAGGAACGTATCGGTAATGAAAAATATTACATTCTCTGTTAAATGGTTGCACAGGAATCTAATAGCGAAACGGCAACTGAAAATGATTGCCTCCTGGCTGTCTTAATGATGATTCAGGGAATTTGTCGGAGATATTCCAACAGAAAGGTTCAAAACCTCCTGGCCGTCTACTTTATCGATTCGGATAAATCGTCGGAGGTATTCTAACACAAAGGCTTAACCTCCTGCTTCAATGATTCACATGGAATCGCCGGAGATGTTTCGATCCATAAATGGAAAATCTCCTTCCTAAACAGGGCCGCGAATGTTGAGATGATACAACTTCAAAAAATTCAACTGCAAGGAACACGGGATCACACCGTAGAGTACCCAGTTGGACACCCAAATAGTTCAAAAAGCAGCGCATAGATACTATACATCACAGATCTGGCCACAGGCTAAAACTGGTTATTCGTCGGAAAAAAAAAGTGGCCAAATAATGCTACTGGGAGTAAAAAAAACGCTAAATAAATAAAAAACTTAAAAAAAAACAATACAAAAAGACAAATGCTGTCGAAAATGCTGGTTAACACTCCCTTATCAGAAAATGGTATGTTTTACTCAGGAAAATATATCAGGATAGCTGTTTAATTGCTAATTAGCTTCTGATTCAATTCCGGGAGTAAAAGGGTTTTGAAGGTTGGTCGTTCTATTTTTGTTAAGAAGCGGCAAACAGCAATTGCAGCATCTCTATCTTTTTTTCAGAGTTCTATTCTCGGCCCTACTATTTTTCTTTTCTATATTAATTCATCTGCTCAAGAACATACTCCGATCTTTAGTGAATACTTTTTAGAGCCATCTCGTTGCCCGGGGATGTAACAGTAAGAGATAGATCAAGTATCGACCATCATAAAGACTGAAAAATAAAATTGACAAAGATTATTGTTTAAGGTTGACGGACACGTATGTCTTAATTAGTTTTTTTTTTTTTTTTTTACGAATTGGTCAAACCCAAACTAAAAAAAAACATTGTTTTCAATCGTTATGAGTCTACCGATTGAATAGAATTTTATTATAAACAATTGTCTTGTAAATGGAATTTTTAAAGCATTCTGAATGTAAAAATAAAGAAAAAGTGTGCAAGACAATAAGAAACACTACCTGCCAAAAAAAAAAAAAAGTGAAGTTTTGTTGAAATCGGTTGAAAATGTAGGAAATCCGATCCCATATATAAACGACACACACACACACACACACAACACACACACACACACACACACACACACAAACTGGTTTTATAATAAGTATAACTCGATATGAGTTGTCCTATTTCATTGTCGCGACAGCGATGCCTCTTAATCGTGTTTTCAAATTGATTTCATGCAAAAACAATTGTGTTTTTCTAATTTTTGGCGCTGTCAGAACCACCGCAAGGTAATTTTACGTAGTTCTGTGAAGTTTTGTTGAAATCGGTTGAAAAATGTAGGAAATCCGATCCAATATATAAACGAACAGACACACAACCTGGGTTTTATAATAAGTATGATTAACATTTACCAGACTGAACTTCCGAGAAATTTCATAGAAAATATGCGTCCTCCGACAGGAATCGTACCTGTATCCTACACAGAACCGTCATATAGCCTGACGTACTATACCAGTTGAGCTACGAAGGAGGGTCTGGTTAGCAAGGTCGATTTTACTGCTTTTAATTTTTTTATTTTACGTGTATGATACAGGTTCGATTCCTGTCGGAGGACGCATATTTTCTATGATAAAAGGCGTTCAAAAAATAAATGTTGTTAACACTGTTTATTATAAAACAATATTTACTTAAATATTTGTGTCTATATAAATAATGTATAACAATAAAATATATTAAAATAATTGTCGGACTTTGTCCATTTCATAGTGTGTAACGTTATTTGTTTACATTAAGATACGCTTCAAGCAGAATATGGACGTTCGAGGGAAGTCATATTAAGTTTTGTTTAAAAGCAAGAAAATCATCAAATGCTAACCAGATGCTCCTCTGTTTTAAACTAGTATAACACGTCAAATAATATGAAAATTCCGTGTAGAATATTATGTTTCGATTCCTGTCGGAAATTACAAATTTTCTATGAAGTTTCTCAGGCGTTCAGGTCGATAAATGTTGTTAATACTGTTTATTATAAAACAATATTTACTTAAATATTTTTGTCTATATAAATAACGTATAACAATAAAATATATTAAAGTAATTGTCGGACGTGGTCTATTCGTTTAAATTGTAACTGGAAATTTCTAAATCTTTATATGTATAATATATTTTAACTAATATAAAAAATTTTTTTGAGTATTTGCATGAAATTTTAGGATTGGTTAAAAATTACTTGAAATCATTTTTTTTTTAATAATTCGTTATTGTAACAGTATTTTCAAAAGAATGTGGAATTAAATTCTAAACATTTCTAATGCCTTCGTGTATTGATCAGTTATAACAAATTTAATATAAGAGATAAATTGAATATAAGTTAGGCTGTGTTATGGGTTGTTTTGTCCAACACTATGAGATACTACAAAACCAAAATTTTAACGTAAAAACTCTCATCAGTTTCTAAAATAACCTTGTCAGATTTTGACTTCGCTCATGTGGATGTCAGACATAGCATCCAACTCATTCAAAAATGTCTAAAATGTCAGCTGTATGCAAACGTTTTATTAGATCAACAGTTAAAAGTAACACCAAGCTTTTCATTTTAGGTCTTCATCAGATCTTTTCAAGTCTTTTAATTTTAAAATCAACAAGAAAAAATTTTGATAAATAAAAAAATAATTTTCATTTTTTTTTTATTTTCAAACAACAATAAAATGGATGGCTTTCATGTTTAAACTAAAAACGGGGAAATAAACATGAAAACTATTTTCTTGAAAAAAAAATTTTAAGAAATAAATTGTAAAATTTCAAATTGCAGTTCGGCCTTAAATGCCGATATTTTTGCATGGAAAAAATAAAATTTTACCATTACCATTAATAAGTTGTTTTTACATAAATTTAATGGATATAATCAACCTTTTAAAACATAAATGTATAAGTCGATCTACTATTTTTTTTTTTCTAGAAATTTGTTTCAAAAAAGTAAAAAAATGATTCACAGAAAATTTTTTTTAAAATATAACAGCAAATAAGAATATGTCCGGGATTAGTAATTTCTTCGACTGGGGTGGACATTGACACACCACTAAGTGACATTTTTGGACTTTATCAGCTCCTTTAAACCATTCCAAAAACAACAAGGCAATTTGTAATATAGTCTTTAAAACTTTTAACATATTTTTTAAAAATAAAACAGAAACCTTTGATATATTTAAAAAACAAAAATGAAATCGTGTTCATTTATTTTTTTATTGGATTGAATTACTTTTTTAAGACTTGGATTAATTCGCCGAATATGAGGTCTATTCGTTTTTTTCATATCAAACATTGAATTGAATATTTTTTTAATGAACGGGTTTATGGTTATTTTGAACCTTCTCTTATTTCAGTGTATATTTTAGAAATTAAATATCGATAAAAGTGATTATGAATTTGTCTGGGACTGATGGCGTGGAATTAAAAATTGGGCAAATATTTTTTGGGAGGTTTAAAATCCATTTTTTTTTTATGTATTTGTGCAATTTTTATTATTGTTATGACAAAATTATCTCTTGAGGGAGGAAGATGATTTTCGGTGATTTTAATTAAATTTTGAAAAAATTTTTTTCTTGTTTAAATTTAATTGTTCTTTTTAGAAGATCAATTCCATGAAAAAGAATTCATATTTTCAAAATTGGTTCGTTCCTAATAAAATTATATATAATGTACTCAAAAAAAAATTTTTGAAAATTTTAAATTTTAAAAAAAAAAAAATCTGAAACAAAAAAAAAAAATTAAGCAAACATGATTGGCTAAAAAAAATTTTTTTTTCTTTAAAAAAAATATTGAAGAAAAAAAAATTGCTAAAAAGATCGGACATTTTTTAGTCGCTAGAATATTGTAAATATTTTTTTTAACGGGCAAAAATTTGAATTAAAAACAATACGTTTTCAAGAGGAATGTGAAAGTTTACATCGAAGATGCGTTTTGGTTGAATCTTTAATTAAATTGGTCTTCAAAACAAAAGGTTTGTTTTAATGCTGATATCAAATTAAAAAATGGTGATTTTAATCCTTCAAACCACATTATTTTCTTTCAATTTTTCCTTTTTATATTACTACGTCATCAAATGTGCCATTTCTGTTAATTGTTTAATGAATGGTTGTAGTTCCTGTCTTAAATAACGGGTAGCCATGTTTTTTATAATTTTCTTTTGTCGATTTAATTTTTCGTATATATTTTTTTTTTTGCATTTTTTATTTTGTATTTTCTCTTTTTTTTTTTTTATTTTTTTTTAAGTTTGGTTTAATTTTTCTTTATTTTCAAATTTTTCTTTTTTTTTTATATTTTTCATTTATATATTTTTTTTTTCCAATATAAATATTCGACCGTTTTTTTTTTTTTTTTTAGGGAAAGAAGCTATTATTTATATTTTTCTCGTTTATTTTCTTCTTTCTTGCTTTAAAATTTATTATTTGTCATTCATTTTCTTCTTTTTTATTTTCGTTCATTATTCATTTAAAATTTTTTTGACTTTTTCTATTTTCGTTCATTTTTTTCATTCATTTAATTAAATTTATATTTTCCGTTTATTTTTTTTTAGTTTTTAAATTTTCATTCATTTTTTTTAGAGTTTCTTTTAAAAATTGTTCATTTTTTTTTTTTAATTCCGTTCATTTTTTTAAATAAAATTTTTTTTTGTGTTTTTTTTTTTTCTTTTTTTTTCATTTTTTTTTTTTTTTTTTTTTTTTTCATTTCTATTTTTTTTTTTTTTTTAATAGTTTTTTTTTTTTTTTTTTCTTTCATTATTTTTTTTTTGTTTTTTTTTTTTTTTTTTTTTTTTTAAATTTTTAAATCATATATAAACCCTGATAAGGAAATTTATGAAGATTAATCTTGGCTCTCCCCATTATTCCAATTCTTTATTCTCTGTTTTTTGAATGTAAACATTCTTGGGACAATAAATGGTTTGGTTTTCCATTTTTTCTTTTTAAATTTATTTTTGAATTTCATGTATTGGTTGCCATCAAAAATTTTTATTTAGCAAGTTTTATTATTTTGTTTCATTGATGAATTATTTTCATTTCCGAACAATTTTTCAAATTATATTTTTTTACAAATTTTGAAAGATATTAATTTTTTTCACCCCGCAGTTTTTTATTTTTAAATTCTGCATCATTAAACCATTATTATCATAAAAAAAAAATAAAAAAAAAAAATCTTAAATCTAAAAATATAATTTTTATAAAGCTCTCAAAACAATATTGATAAAAAATCTAAATGAATCAATGAATGGAATACTGATTAGCTACATAGAAAATGTCTAAATTTTTTTTTTATTTTTTTTTTTAGAAAAAAAAATATAGAAATTCAAACCTTGACCATAAAATATTTAATTTCATTTTTATATTAAATTTGAAAAATATATATTCATTTAATCAAATTTATGAAAATGTGATTATAATTTCATGTTTTGATCATAATATAAATATTTAAACATTTTTTATTTCAATGAAATATATTTATTAATTTTTAATTATATATTTTTAAATTTAAACAAATGTTTTTTATAAAGTAATAATAAAATATATAGAAAATATCATCTAAAATAAATATATTTCTGATCTAATTTATTTTATTGTTTGTAATGAAATATTCCTCCATTTTATATCCAATATTATAAATTGTTTATCAAATTCTGATTAAATGTGAATGCTTTCTCTAAATAAACTTATATATATATAAATTTAATAAAACATATATCACTAAACCATTAAAACATATAAAAATTTTTCTTATCATACATTTTTAAAAAAAAAATTTTCTGTCTTTTTTTAACATGATGTCAAATATGTTGATAAGCCATTTTCTTAGTTAATATTAGCTATTGGTATATTGGGTGTTGAATGTTGTAATTTAATGATATATATATCATTTAAATTATATATTTTATATATATTATACAGGGTGCGAAGGATAAATTGTCGTCTAAATGACGCAAAAATGAAAATAAAACTGACATCTCATTTTAACAGATATATTTAACAATATTACGCAAAAATATCTTTAAATACTAAAGAGTAAATTTATTCAATAAACTCGCCATCGGCTTAAACCATGGTATCGAGACGACTTCGGAATCTCCTGCAACTCTTCTGGATGGTCTCCTTGTTTTTAAATTGGTAATTGCTGCGATAATCCTTGCATTCAGTTCATCTTTGGTGTTGCAAGGAGTTTTGTTAGTCTCTCGCTCAACTGCGACCCACACATAATAATCAAGGGGGTGCAGTCATGGGAGTTAGGTGGCCAGATGTAAGGGGTAATGTGGTCGAAGAAACTGTCTGACAGTCACAGCTGGGTTCTCCTGCTAGCGTGGCATGGTGCAGAGTCCTGTTGCCAGACATATGCTCTTCCAGCAGCCACCCTCTTGACCTAGGGCAGCACTACTTCCTCAAAGCACTTGATGTAGGCCTCCATGTTGAGTCTGAGGCCCCAACAAAAGATGAATGGAACATCTTATCAGAATGATCACTAGTTTCACTCCAAACACCATGATGTTGGCTCACCATTAGACTCATCCAACTCTTTCTGAATCCTCTGCACTGTCCTCAGATTGACACCCAAACACTCTGAAATGTTTGTATTGGAGCTTCTGGTGTGAATGCTAAGCAGTACAGTATGCCATTTCCAAATTTCTGGTGAAGTGAATTGCGTCATGGTGCTCTTTTTCTCACAGATGGTGCCCAACTGACCATACTATACTGTGCAGTTGACAAAATAAAAAACAAACAAACAACATGCATGTGCAAAAAATATTAAATTAGTCGGACTATTACCCTCATCTTTTGTATATATTTGTATTTATTTCGGCCGTTGTTTATAATAAATAATTCTTCCCTGAATGTCCAAAAAATCTCAAAGAAAATGTGTCCTACGACAGGAATAGAACCTGTATCCTACATCACCTTCACTTGGGTCTATTAAAATAGTTGTCAGACTTAGTCTATTTCATATTATGTCAATTGTTTACGTTAAGATACGATCGTTTCGAGAGAAAAAAGGGAATTTTGTAGTTTAAAAACAATGATTTAACCTTGTTAACCAGAACTTCCTCTGTAGCTAAATAGTATAGCACGTCAGGCTATATGGCGGTTCAATTAACTAGGATGCAGGTTCGATTTCACATATTTGAGCTTTCTCAGACATTCAGGCCGGTAAATGTTGTTAATACTGTTTATTATAAAGAGATCATTTACTTTAATATTTGTTTCTATAAAAAATAACGTATAAACAGAAAATATTAAAATAGTTGTCGGACTTAGTCCATTTTTTAACATATGTATGTGTATATGTGTATGTAAAGTGAATGAGTTTTTATATCTGTTTATAAAATCCTATCTAATAAGATGATTGGTTAGATTAGTTGTTAGTTTTTTCAAACCACCACTAGGTAGGTAATTGAACCAACTTTAATTAGAAAAGTTCTGGGGTCTCAAGAAATTCTTGATGTCATTAAAACCCTCTTATTTTTTGCCTGTTCAATACAGACTTAAAAAATAGACTTTTTATTGATTCTCAAACATTGCATAACAAAATAAACGTCGGGTCAGCGCAAGAAAATTTGGCTGCTTTTCTAAAATTTAAAACAAATGATGTTTTTTAGTTTTTTTCCTTTCGATCTAATTTTATAAACATCCCGTGTTTTTTTCTTGGAATACTCAATCAATAAGAATTAATTTGTTGGAGGTGGGTAGGTGAGTTCGCACTTCTTCAGTTAACCGGGAATAATTTAGACAAAAATCTGTTTCCTCGTTTCTCTGATTATTGGTCTGGATTCTTAATTTGATGTGTTCAAGTCTTTGATGCCTTAGAAGCATATATATGCATACATATAAAAACACAATATAGTAAGGAAAAAATGACAAAAAATATTTTTACCTGAACTTGAGACGAAGTCGTGTTATTCAAAAATCTTTCATTCATATTCTTCTCCTTAGTTACAGCAATGAAACGTTGTGAGAAAAAAACAAACATCCGAAATGAAAAATCTATTCTGAAAACCCATATCGATATTGGAAGCAATATTATATCAAAATCTATGCCTTTGCTTGTTCCAAAAAAAATCCTCATTGTCCATTTCTGCTTCGTCCTCAGAAGGTATATTATTATTAAAATGGCGATTAACTTGAGTCAACATGTCCCAACAACTTATTTTTTCAACTTGTTTAGTTTGTTCCAGTCAAATTCAAGAAACAATCGACATGTGTGCGTATTTGGTTACGGGTTGTTCATTACGAGAAGAGACTTCATTTTATGGTTGGTTGTTCTGATATCTCTATCTATAAAAGGCAGGATGTGTGTGCGTGTGTGTATGTAACGAATGCACGGCCGCAATTTTTTTCAATTGCACCAAAATCTACATGCATATGCTCCAAGTTACACAAGGCCAAGACCAACTTTGCATTTATATAACTCCCATCGATAGTGGAAATAATCGATTTTTTCATATATATAACATTTATTTTCATGTAGTTTGCGGCCATTTTCACTGGCCAGAGTAGAGCCTATAGCTGGCTTTCCACAATAGGCAGAAAAATTCTATATGGCCAGTGTGAGAGCCAACAGCTGACTTTTTTGAATGTTAAAATAGCAAGAACTAGCATGCAAAAAATCTATAGCTGCATTCGTCACAAGTGGGAAAAATTTAAATCTGCATGGCTTTTTACACCAATTGGCTCATTCGCTTATATAAACTCAACGTTGATTCTGATTCCGCAGAACTGGGTTGGGTATATAAAAGTATTTATTAACATTCTTTTTTTCATTTTGTTTTTCCAGTTACGAGGCCTTTTTTTTAATGATCGTTGTGTGTTCATTCACTTGCTTAAACTCAAGGTTGATTCTGATTCCGCATAATTTTCCAGTTACGAGTCCTTTTTTTATAACTGATTGTTTTGTGTTCATTTTGTTTAGTTCTTTTTTTGTAACAGATTTAATGTTTAGTATAGAAGGTACTTAGAAAAAATTCGCAGTGTGAGATAGGCAAGAAGGAAGGCATGTAGCAACATCAAAACACAAAATGAATAAACGGCATTCCTTTAAAAAGGCATTATTTATAAGGGCAAAAAATAAAGATAGCGATTGCTGTATGAGTCGTACGATTTTTGAATCAAGCATATATATTTATTTTTTTAGTGAATTGATAAATACAAATTTTTTCATTTTCTGAATGTTTCTGAACTTAATTTTGGTGACGGTTTGCAGAAAAATGTTATCCCCATTCATTGTCATTTGTTATAAATAAACATGTCCGATGATTTCAAAGTTTGTTAAAAAATAAAATTTGAAAGACAAAAGAAAAACATTCGTAGTACTTCCGTTTTCCTTTCCTGGTGCAAAGGTAGCTTCGAAAAGGAGATAAATGAGTTGAGATAACACAAACAGGAAGTGATGGGATTCTATATAAAAGCAATTTAAATTTAATGCTTAACAACCAGATGCTAACTCATTAAATTATGACATTTTTTATTTCTTCAGGGTCCGTTTGTTGATCGATGCAGATTTGTCTACGAGAAAATGGCATATGAGACCGGTTAGAAACCAAGATTTTATAAGTACTGGCCAAAATGGATCAAGATATCGAAAATTTAGTGAAATCATGCAGTAGTGGTTGTGCTCTGATGGCAAGGCATTACCTATCAAAATTCAACCTTGGCCCCAAACCGATATGCCATGGTTCAAAATGCATATATAGACTTCTAGGACCGTTAAACGGGACATACTATTTAATGGTAGTTGATAATTACACTAAATGGCCAGAAATATTAAAATGTAGAAGACCGATTACTGCGGTAACGATAAATTTCCTACACGAGATTTTTGCAAGATTCTTTGACTCTATCGTTTCAGATAATGGGACTCAATTCACGTATAGCGAATTTAAGTTTTTTTTTTTATTATTTGTAGAACATATTACAACTCCCCTTATCACCCAAGATCAAACGGACAAGCAAAACGGTTAAAAGGGCACTAAAAACGTTTGAGGGAGAGGAAACAGATGAAGTAATGATTCAGCAATTTCTGAGTGTTTACAGAATAACACCAAACCTGAACACTGCGAATATTAACTCTGTAGGCGACATTCCAGACAAAGAAGATTAAGTCCGTTTTCAATAAGTTATTTCAAAAACGCAAGGCAAGAACATCAAGAAATAACAATACAAATAGATACTTCAAACCTGGAATAAGGTATTTGTTAAGATGTAACGCGGAGAGGAATTCTGGGAAGATTGCGTAATAAAAAAAACCTGATCGACAAAAGGACATACCTGGTACAGAGACAAAAGTAGGAATATAAGCGACATCTTAATAAGTTAAAACGTAGATTCATCTATTTAAAAGTTCCCGTAAAGAGGTACCAATGGAAATTCTGTATGACACGTTTAACATAGCCACGCTACCAGAAATTGTTGAATCAAGGGTTTATGGCAAAAGAAAAGGAATGCCAACAGAATTTTTAACTAGTGAACCAAAGCTGAAGATGAAGTCATTTCAAAAGGGAGGTGTTATAATTTATCTCAAAGTGTCGCTGCCGACACTAGAGTTTGAACACAGATCACTAGAGAGCAAAATAAGGCGATCCCGTTTTTTTAAGTAGATCACGTGATTGTATAGGAAATGTATATATGGGGATTAGCGCGGTGTCTACGTGATCACGATCTCGGATTACTTTTAATACATTTACCTCGAACTCTCTGCCTCTGGGCAGAGGGCCCAGACGAGGCTATGTCAAAGGCAGTCTCGTCTGGGGTTGTAGACAGCTACCTGACCCGTTTTTTACGGTGTCTATTTTTTTTTGCAGTCTATTTTCTATCGGATACCCCATTTCCACTCGGCCTTTTGCCATTTTGTCTATCGTCTTCGGTAGGTGAATATCATCACGATCGGGATAACGATTCGAGCGAGTATTATCAAGCAAGTACTATTAGTGCTTGTTATTCAGAAGGCGTCTGACACCAGTATTGTTCAACGGCTATTACTATAGTTGCATCTATTTAAAGTCTCTATCTACAACGAGTATTATAAAAGTCAATGGGTATTCGTTGACATTACAAAAGTGGCAACTATCTTCTTTCTATATCACAAAACAAGGGATCTGCTTCATGAGCTCTGTTTGAACCAAAGAGATCTATATGAGCTCTGCTATCTCTCCAGGATTACAAACACTTTTTTTATCTATCTATCTATCTATCTATATCTTTCAGTCTCTTCATTATTATCTATCTCATCTCTCTATCTTTCTCTCTGTTTATCTCATCTCTCTATCTATCTATCTATCTATCTTCATCTCTCTTCTATCTCATTTCTCTATCTATCTATTGTCTATCTCATTCTATCTCAGTCTTTCATTCTCTATCTATCTATCTATCTATCTCTCTTCATATCTTTCTATCTATCTATCTCAGTCTCTTCATTATCTATCTATCTATCTATCTATCTATCTATCTATCTATCTCATCTATCTTCATCTCTTTTCATATCTATCTATCTATCTATCTCAGTCTCTTCATCTTCTATCTATCTATCTATCTCAATCTGTTCATATCTATCTATCTATCTATCTCAGTCTCTTCATTATCTATCTATCTATCTATCTCAGTCAGTCTCTTCATTATCTATCTATCTATCTATCTCAGTCTATCTATCTATCTATCTATCTATCTCATCTCATCTCTCTCATTATCTATCTATCTATCTATCTCATCTCTTCATTATCTATCTATCTCATCTCTATCTATCTATCTATCTATCTATCTCAGTCTCTTTCTATCTATCTATCTATCTATCTATCTATCATATCTATCTATCTCTCTTTTATCTCAGTCTATTCATCTATCTCATCTATCTATCTATCTATCTATCTCATCTCTTCTATCGTCTTCATTACATCTATCTATCTATCTATCTCTCTTCTCTTCATTATCTTCTATCTATCTATCTCTATCTCTTCTATCATTATCTATCTATCTATCTATCTATCTATTTATCTCATCTTCATCTATCTATCTCATCTATTCTTATCTATCTATCTATCTATCTATCTCAGTCTCTTCTCATCTATCTTCTATCTATCTCTCAGTCTCTTCATTATCTATCTATCTATCTATCTCAGTCTCTTCATCCATCTATCTATCTATCTATCTCTCTTCATTATTTATCTATCTATCTATCTATCTCATCTCTCTCATCTATCTATCTATCTATCTATCTCATCTTCTATCTATCTATCTATCTATCTCAGTCTCTTCATATCTATTTATCTATCTATCTATCTCTTCATCTATCTATCTATCTATCTATCTCAGTCGCTTCATTATCTATCTATCTATCTATCTATCTATCTATCATCTCAGTCTCTTCATATCTATTTATCTCAGTCTACCTATACCATTCTCTATCTATCTATCTATTATCTCAGTCATTTATCTATCTATCTATCTATCTATATCTATCTATCTATCTCAGTCTCTTCATTATCTATTTACTATCTATCTATATCTCTTCATTTCATCTATCATATCTATCTATCTATCTCAGTCTATCTCATCTCTCTCTTTTATCTATCTATCTATCACTTCTATCTATCTATCTATCTATTCATTATCTATCTATCTCTCTTCTATCTATCTATCTATCTATCTATCTCAGTCTCTTCATTATCTATCTATCTATCTATCTCATCTCTTCATTATCTATCTATCTATCTTCTATCTCTCTCTTCTCTTTCATCTATCTATCTATCTATCTATTTTATCTATCTATCTTCAGTCTCTTCTATCTATCTATCTATCTATCTATCTCTCTTCAGTCTCTTCATCTATTAATACATTTATCTATCTCAGTCTCTTCATTATCTCTTCTTATCATCTCTATCATATCTATCTATCTATCTATCTATCTATCTCTTCATCTCGTTTTATACTTTCCTATATCTTCATCTCTTCTTATTTCAGTCTATCTGTCTATCTATCTATCTATCTATCTATCTTCTCATCTTCATCTATCTATCTATCTATCTATCTATCAGTCTATCTATTATCTCTCTTATTTCTATCTATCTAACTCGTTCATATCTATCTATCTATCTATCTATCTCAGTCTCTTCATATCGTTTTATCTATCTTACCTCTATCTATCTTATCTCTTCTTATCTCTCTATTTCATAACTATGTCTATCTATCTATCTCTCTATCTATCTCAGTATCTTCATATCTATTTAATATCTATCTATCTCAGTCTGTTATCTATCTTATCTATCTATCTTCATCTCATCATTTCCTATCTATCTATCTATCTATCTATCTCAGTCCTTCATCTCGTTTTAATACATTTATCTATACCATCTATTCTATCTATCTATCTATCTATCTATCTCAGTCTCTTCATTATCTATCTATCTATCTATCTATCTCATCTCTTCATATCTTTCTCATTTATTACCATCTCATTGTTATCTCTTCTTCTCTTCAGTCTATCTCATCTAACCGTGTCTATCTATCTATCTATCTATCTATCTCAGTCTCTTCATATCGTTTTCATCTATCTATCTATCCAGTCACTTGTTATCTCTTCTTCTTTCAGTCTATCTATAACCGTTCATCTATCTATCTATCTATCTATCTATCTCAGTCTCTTCATATCGTTCTATTTACTATCTATCTATCTCTTCTTATTTCAGTCGCTATCATCTATCTATCTCATCTATCTATCTATCTATCTATCTATCTATCTTCAGTCTTTTCATACATTTATCTATCCAGTCATCTTCTTATCTTCTTATCTCATCTATCTCAGTCTCTTCATCTATCTATCTATCTATCTATCTCATCTCTTCTATCTTTCTATCTATCTATCTTCACTTTTATCTATCTCTTATTTCATCTATCTAACTTCCTATCTATCTATCTATCTATCTATCTCAGTCTATCTCTTTTAATCTTTTATTTCAGTCACTTCTATCTCTATCTTATATCTATCTATCTCTTCTATCTATCTATCTATCTATCTATCTATCTCAGTCTCTTCATATCGTTTTCTATTTATCTATCCAGTCATTGTTATCTCTTCTTATTTCAGTCTATCTTTCATAACCGTGTCTATCTATCTATCTATCTATCTATCTATCTCAGTCTCTTCATATCGTTTTAATACATTTACCTCTACCAGTCATCTATTATCTATTCTTATTTCAGTCTATTCATAACCGTGTCTATCTATCTATCTATCTATCTATCTATCTATCTCAGTCTCTTCATATCTATCGTTTTCATACATTTACCTATACCAGTCTATCTATCTTATCTCTCTTATTTCAGTCTCTTCATAACCGTGTCTATCTATCTATCTATCTATCTCAGTCTTTCATATCTATTTTCTACATTTACCTATACCAGTCACTTGTTATCTCTTCTTATTTCAGTCGCTTCATAACCGTGTCTATCTATCTATCTATCTATCTCAGTCTCTTCATATCGTTTTCATACATTTACCTATACCAGTCACTTGTTATCTCTTCTTATTTCAGTCGCTTCATAACCGTGTCTATCTATCTATCTATCTCAGTCTCTTCATATCGTTTTCATACATTTACCTATACCAGTCACTTGTTATCTCTTCTTATTTCAGTCGCTTCATAACCGTGTCTATCTATCTATCTATCTATCTCAGTCTCTTCATATCGTTTTCATACATTTACCTATACCAGTCACTTGTTATCTCTTCTTATTTCAGTCGCTTCATAACCGTGTCTATCTCAAACTGCACTGAATTTGCAGCTGTGGCTTTAATTTTTTTATTTATGAAAATTCCTTCATTCTTTTTTCACCTCTCCAGGCAAGTTTAATGCCCTCCCCATCAAACTCTGCCTTTCTTTTTCTTATTTTCTGCAGTCTATCCTTCATATTATTTACTAATTCTTCTGACCCTTTTATCTTTGACTTCATTCACTTTTTTTTAATAAACATTCATCACCTCCCCCTTCCGTCCGTTTGTTGTTCTTTTTGTTCTTTTTCTTTTTGGGGAGCAGGGGATGAGTATGAATTTCTTTTTAAAAATATTTTTATTCTCTTTCATCCATTTTTTTAATTTTCCTTCTCTTCATTCTCTATCTTGTGCTTCTTCATTGAATTACTTTTTACTCATTTTCAGATTCTTTTTTTTCTTTTATTGAATATTTTTTCTGATTTTTCTTCCTATTTCATTTATCTTTGATTTTCCTTCATTTAATTTTTCCACCTCTAATTCATTCCAGACTCTTCCTCCTTTACCCTAGTCTTCATTTTCTTCTTCTACTACTCCTTCATCAAATTCCTCTGTCTGTATTCATTTTCTTATTATTATTCCACTCTTTCATTCAATTCTTTGATTCTATTCTTCATTTTCTTCTTTTTCATATCTGTGGGTGGGGGAGAAGAAGAGGATTCATGTCTTTCCCATGGGTATTAGCACGTAAGTGAATGTAATGGATTTGATTGGAATTGGAACTCAGCTCTCTGATTCCGCAATCTGAGCCGCTATCCATTACTCCACCAAAACATAGTCTTAGATAAATTCAGTTTGTCTTCTTAGACAAGGGATTTCATATGTTTAATCTATGATTTTTCCCCTCTTTTCAATAGTAGGACCTTATCAATAAATTCTTCTTTGACTATTCTTCATTTTTTTCTTCCACTCCATTATCAAATTCTTCTTTGATTCTATTCTTCATTTTCTTCTTCTTCATAGCTCAGGGGAGAAGAGGAGGAATCATACCTTTCCCAAGGGTATTAGTATGTAAGTGAATGTAAATGATTTGATTGGAATTCAAACTCAGCTCTCCAATTCCTCAATCCGAGCTCCTATACATTACTCCACCGAAACACTTAGATAAATTCAGGCTGTCTTCTTAAACAAGGCATTTCATATGTTTAATCTATGATTTTTTCCCCTTCTTTTCAGTAGTAGGACCTTATCAGTAAATTACAGAGAGACCTCAGTTCTTGAATGTCTCATATGTCGAACAAATTGGTTTTTGAACAGAAAATTCAAGATGAAAATGCCTTGGTCATCAAACAAAATTTCGGTTAGAGATAGAGACCCCGAAAAATAATTTTGTAGACTATCTCTGAAAAATGGAAGGAACGCTGGGATATGTCTGAATACTTTGAAGTAGACGAAGGAACTAGGTGGGCTATTTTAAAATATATTTTTGATAATATTAAATGGCGAGATACTTTACAGACAGACCATATATACATTATGCCACGTCCCTTTAGAACGTAAGTGTTCATGCCGCTCCACAGCTTCTTGAGAAAGACAGTGGAATAGTTTCCTGTTGCCTTCTTCACAATTTGGAATTCAGAGATGTCTCACTCCTAGAATAGCCCCCACCCTAAGCTAGAAAACCCAGTTTGCTATGCTGTTTGACCTATTGTTGGTGGGGCCGTGAAAAGAGGCGGATTCGTGCCTTCTCCAAAGGTTGGTATCTCGCTCCCACCCTTTCACTGTCGAAACAGTAAAATATAACCGCCTCTTCTACTCCAACAGCTTCTTCTTTTGCACTTCTTGACAGTGAAACCCCCTTCCTCTTACTTGCTTCCTTGATAGCTATAATGTTCAAATATTCATATGTAATGTCAATCGACATCTTTTGATGCCTTGATCTTGATCCCCGGCCTTCTCTTTATCCTTTCCTCAAACACTCCTCTTTACTCTTGCTCCCATTCTCTGTAACCCGTTGCACGCTAGTGGCACTCCCGCCTTGCTTGGGGTGAAATACTTAAAAAAAAAAGAAAAAAAAAAAAAAAAAAAGAAAGTGAAGTCAGTTTTTAAAAAAATTTGAACTCGGCTCGCTGATTCTCCTTTCTGCGTCGGGAACCGTTACGCCATCCGTTCACCAATATTACAGTTCTAAAGGAAATCAGTGACCTTTGACGCAGATTAGAAACTGGGGGAAAAAAAAAGAGAATTTAAAGTCTTAGATTTAAAGCAAAAACGTTTTATACATTTTTAATTTTCAAAGATATGAGTTTGTGATAAAAAGTTCTCAGCACAACCAAGAAGGGGTTTAAAAAAAAAAAAAAGAAAAATATTTTATGGTTGGTTATTTGTTCAGATTTTGGTGGCTCGAACCAGGAAATTTTCAGCACCCCTTCTTAGGTGAATAACCATATTTATTCTTTTAGCATAATCATTGTCGCAAGTCAGTGACCAACCACTAAATATGTGTTTATAATATGAAACTAATTAAAAAACATGAGAGTAATTTATGTATTTTCCTTCTGGATATTAGTTATGGCTTGTGGTTCGACACTAGTGTGATCATTCTCCATTAGTAGTTTGTATTTTGGTTGATTTGAAAGTAATATCTTCGTCTTTAAGACAAAATTTCAAAGTTGATTTAAACTTAATATTCCTTATAAACTAATTTACTTGAAGATGTTTAAAAATTTTTTCAGTTTTCAAAATGTATTAAAGGATTTATGGAGTTTTGGTTGTAGTTTCCAAGGGCAGATCCACCATTTTCAGTTAAAGGAGGTGTGTTCCTCAGCAAAAATCTTAATTCAAAATTATAAATTCTCTGAGCATATATATTAGGTTAGAGAAATGAGTAGAGAGTGTTTTTATATATATATATATATATTATAAAATGACAATTTTGAAAAAAATCTTAGATTTTGCCGACGCGTTTCGTCTTCCGACTTTTTCAAGGCAAAAATGAAATCGAAATGTTTTTGTTGTTATACTTACATTAAAAAATCCAAATTTAAAAAGATAGACGATTTTTTTCCAATTGTCATTTTGTACCAATCTGTCTTGTCCACAGAATTGATCTGGGAATTTAACTATATATATATATATAAGAGATTATAATAAAACATTTTGAAATCGCTACACAAAATCTTTCATGTTTCAATACTTTTATTGTACTTCAAGCGATGGTAAATAACTGGTGATTAAATGATTTTGATTAAAAAGATTATTATTAAAATTATTAAAAATCACTTAATCACCAGTTATTTACCATCGCCTGAAGAAGTACAATCAAAGTATTGAAACATGAAAGATTTTGTATAGCGATTTCAGAATGTTTTTATTATATTCTCATAATAAAAATATAATAATAATATATTGGTCTATTTTGTCTTGAGAACTTTTTTAAAAAGTAAATGCTACGAACATTTGCTCTTTGTTTCATTTGGATATATATATATATATGTGTGTGTGTGTCTATGTGTGTTTATATTTCTGAGATGAGGTATTATGTACACTATTTACATTATTCGGGCAATTGTCCTCATCTTTGTCGCCATATTTATCACAACGTTTCGGCCGTTCTACGCTCCGGCCTTTTTTAGGTGGTTGAAATGTCGAACTGAACCCTTTATTTCGTTCGCTCGGGTAGACTGTTCTAATTCCACGTGTGTATCCTTAAGGTGACAAGACCCAAAGAGTTGTGATATCTGGTTAAGTCAGTGGAGAACTTGGAGAGGTGAATTAACAGGAGATAACTGGTAACTGACATCCATTAGTCGCGGAACAAGAACAGTCAGTCTACCCCAGCGAGCGAAGTTCAGTTCGTCATTCCACCTGAAGAAGGCCGGAGCGTACAATGGCTGAAACGTTGTGATAAATATGGCAACAAAAATGAGGAGAATAGTCTGAATAATGTAAATAGTATATATATATATATATTTGGTTGGATTGATGTGAGTTTGTGACCCTGGGTTTCACGCTTTTGCGATCGTCAGACAAACTGATTAATTTTTTAAAAAATCTGGGTTTATGTAGATTGCGTGTATTGGTGTTATTATGGGAGTGGGGGGGTCATCGTCTTGATGTCATCGTGCTAACGCAAACATAGATGCATGTTCAAATGCTCGATGAGGTATGCACACATACACACTTGCTTGTCCGTCGAGACCCATACATATATAAACATATATGGACAGTTTCGGATTTGACATATATATATATATATATATAGTATATAATTATTATTTATTAAATTATAACATAAGTATGTTATAAAATCACTACAAATAAAATAGCCATTTTGTTTCAACACACTCGGTGTCTTATTTCTTAATATGATGTTGAAGATAAAAAAAAATTTTTTTTTTATCTTCAATCATCTTTATCTTATTTTTTTAGTGATTTTATAACATACTTATAATTTTTTTATAAATTATATCTGCTCTACTTTGTATTGAGTACTCTTTTAAGAATAGTAATTGTTGGTTATTGGAATTCATTTCATATATACCAATTATATACTTGAGAGTATATATATATATATATATATATATATATATATATATATATATATATATATATATATATATATATATGTATGTATATATATGTGTGTGCGTGTGCGTTTTCTGTCATTTGATATGTAAAAATTTAAGTTCAAACTTTTAAACTTTTTGAGTAAAGAGTAGTCAAAAGCGTATCTAAAAATTTATTAATGAAATATACGATAATATATTATGATAAAAGAACGTTTTTTCATTATAGCTGATCATTTTCAAATTTTGATTTATTTTATGATTATCATTTTCAAATTTGATATCGGTAAGATTGAGATCATTTCGTCAGATTAGATTCAAGTTTATGGTGATGGGTTGATGTTTGACTTAAGTTCGGTTACTTATAAAAACCAATTCTGTATTAGCTTCTAAATTTTTCTTTTTCTGAGAATTTTTTTGGTAATGGGGTTTTTTATGGATTCTACGCCCCACCGTATCCAAATTTTTTTTTTTTTTTATAACTTTATATTTTGGTATAAAGTTTGATTATTTATTTATTTTTTTATGTACGTTAAGGATATTCATTTGGTTTAGTGTTTTTTGTAATAATCTTTTTAAACAGCATTTTTTTCATGATAATATTTTGTTTTTAACTGATTATGATGGTGCCAATTTTATGTTTTTTAAATATGTTGTACTTATTAGTGGTTATCGATTAAGAATGAGATTCGGTAAACAGCCAAGATCGAATATTCATTCGTCATTCACTTATTTTTCCTCCCTAAAAGAAAGTAATGGCAACCTACAGCGGGAAAAAAAAAGTCAGTCATTCAGTCAGTCATGTATCGAACGATGCATAATCGCCCCAAACGTGTATCATGTGCGGCACGTGTGACTGACTGATGAGAAGTACTTTCCATATTTTTAGTAGATGGGTGTGTCCTGTTCTGAGTCTAGATAAAACTATTTCCTTCAGTTTTATTTTTCTGAAACTTGGAACCAATTCTCGTATAATACGTTGAATATCGTATATTGATTTCCTAAGCGTAGTTTAGATGTGGTATAAAATCGCTAAACGTATATTTATT